GCTGGGGGTAACCCTGCGATGGACTAGCATCCCATCCAGGGGGGAGTAGAAATACTCCTAGTCGCTTCATGCTACAGAAACCGGGATAAGCTCTGGCCTGATGGGTCACTTGGCTCGCATGCAGACTTAACCATAACAAATTTTGGAATTAAAAATGTCTTTTGGGAAGTTCTTTGAGCAAAAACGTATGTAGCATATTTCATAAGATTTGAAAACTATAGGAAAAATTGCAAAGATAGCCATTAAAGCAGGCACAATTGACATGCAAATCACATGGGTATCTAATTACAGGTGTCTAATTACAACAAGTTCAAATTGGATACCTGTAATTGGACACCCACGTGATATGAAGTTTATGGAAGCAATTGAATATGGCCCATCCAACTTAATTTCAAGGACAGGGAAAAGGACAGGGAAAAGCAGTGGAAGGCTATTTATCCGACCAATACGTGTTTGTTTACTTTATACACGGACGCGATCTGAGCTCATGCGTGATCTGGATCGTTTGGAGAATAAAGTTTGGATCTTTCCAAGAAGAACAGAGCTGTTCCTGCAGTTTGCGTAATTGCTGCACTTTTAGTTGATTTAATGAATGACCAAGTTTCTTTGCTACAACGAAAGGGCATCGCAGCAAATTTGCATCAACCATTTGACAACTTTACCGCATTGAAAGTAGTTGCCGATCGATGTAGGACTTTTGGGAATAACGCTTTTATTCTCTGCCACTCGTTGTGACTTTGATTCTCAACGTTATTTAATGAAGAGAGCTTTACAGAATTAAAGTTCTCCCTGACTAATTCTGTCTTCTTTAGTTAATTTGGATTCTTGTTGGTACAAGCTAGATCTACATAAGTTTATAGCATTTGTCAGGCAGCTCTCTGGTCGATCACTGGTTAATCTAGACTAAAACAAATAATTTCTGATCGGTTTAAACACAGTTTTGTCTTTTCAGAAGGTGTTACTCAATGGAACAGTTTTTGCTGTTTGTCTGCTGGCTACATACTGCACTGTACACAAATAAATTCATTTGAGTTAGGGAACAGTCCTCGTAAACTTTTTAGCTCTTTTTGATGGACATCATTTCCTGCTATCGCAACGATCGCGCGTGGAGCACACGAAAAGTGAGAAATGTCAATTGTGTTTTTCGCACCAAAAATTTACACTCTGATTCACATTCCTGCAAGTGAAACAAAACGACCTCTCGTGACTTACGTCATTTGTGCTCTCGTGACTTCATCGCTCGAATTCACATAAGGGAGATAAATAAGTTAAGGATTAAGAAAAGGTCGACTTGTGGCAAGTCTACTTTAAGACAAGCTTGGCTATAAGCTGAGACCCTAAACTTGTGAGACATGATAGTGGGCAAAAGTTTTCACAAAAAAAATCAGAAAAATATCAGCCATATGCGGAGACCAACATTTCTTAACAAAAAGTTACTTGAATATCCATTCAAGAAAGTGTCCCTCTCAGAAACATGTTGAAAGTTATTNAAAATATCAGCCATATGTGGAGACCAACGCTTCTTAACAAAAAGTTACTTGAATATCCATTCAAGAAAGTGTCCCTCTCAGAAACATGTTGAAAGTTATTGTGTAGAATAAAATCACACCCTTTAGAAACAATGAAAGGTTTTTATTAGTTGTAAATAATTAGCCAATTAGTACCTTGTCTTTAGGAGCCCCTTCGCATGATTCTATGTAACAATCCAGAAGACGATCCTCCAAAGACTGCCTAGTAACGGAAACAAACATGCTCAATTGAGCATGCTTTAACAAAAATATGTAACCGTGGACAACAAAAAAATTCAAAGTGCCAGCTAGTTTGAGAATGGGTCACATACGCCAATAATGAAATATGGGCGGGTATGTTGCTTTCTGCAAATGAACCAAAGACAATTTGGATCGTACTAAAGGCATCTGCTATTGAGTGTCCATCAATACCCTCAATTGATCCCCTCGATCGACATCTTGATCAATACTCGATCGACATCCTGATCGATGCTTAGACAACACTTTATCGACACTTGATCAACAGTCGGTTGATAGTCGGCCGAGTGTTGACTGCCTCTTATGAATCGATCAAAAATTAGTTGACTCTTGAGCGACTGTCGACTGAGATGTTGATGGTGTGTCAATTGAGTATCAATCGAGGGTATGGATCGACACTCGACCGCAGATGCCTTTAGTACACATGATCCAACAATTTAAAGTTACTTAACAGAAGCAACTGTTCATCTCAAGGATCCAGGGTCAAGATAGGATAATTATGGATATTCACAATTTTCTGCAACAACAGTGACAACAGTTTTTTTTTTTTTTAAACAACCCTGATTACTAACCGGGAAATTAGATGGAGAATATAGTGCAAAACTATTGCACTGATGTGACTTAAGTTCATCAGAAACATGTTGGTTTCAAGATGGGCTGAGATATTAATAAACCTGGCTAATGCCTCATCTCAGCACATGTTTTAAAAGCTAATTCATCAGAGGTACATGTATGCATGTTCCACAACCACTAGATTTGACTTTGGAAACAACATTACATAATAAATGTAATAAACTTGTTGTTTGTCACCACACAAGATTTTAAAATGCAAAATACTTTGTACATGTACGTCAGTCATACCATTTGCCAGAGCTTGGCCTCTTTCTTTTCAACACTCTACGACAAGCTGAGTTGATCACCTCCTATGAAATCAAATGGTGTAACATTTATGTGTTGAAATACAGTGGCACACATAAAAAAATTTAGTTTACATAATCGACAGCATTGAGTTTTACATTAGGCACTTTTGAACTCTCCCAGACCATGTTGAAATAAAGATTATGTAACTATGTATGTAGATTTGCTTACGTGTTCACACGAGGCTATGAAAAGATGTTAGTGGGTATTTTTTTCTTTCCTACAATAAAACCAACAAAATACTGATATGATGATTCACGATAATCATGAAAATAACACATCATGCAAAGTGACTTTATGGCCAATCAAAGTGCATATTATGTGACCAGGTACATTTATAATAAATTGTGAAGAGAACATTTTATGGTAAGATTTAAGAGGTTGCCTGTTGGGCATAAAAACAGTGGAACCCCACCGTACAGACACCTCATTAATATGGCCACCTCGTTATTACGGCCACTTTATTCTGGCTTGAACAAAAGCTCAGTCAGTCATTTTCTTACTTCATGGAACCCTTTAAGATGGCCACTCTGTTGATAGTCAACCAGATTTTTGTGACCCAATGGTGACCACATTACCAGGGTTCCACTGTCAATTCAAGTGAACTCATTTTCTAGAATCAGAAAAAAATTTGGAATGAAATGCCTATATCTTTAACAAACTTCCAAAAAATGTCTTTAAGAGGAAAATAAAACAAATACTTTTTGAAATTCTAGCTTCAGAAGACTGTTATATTGATCTTTCAGAAATCGTTTAAAAAGTAAAGCTGAATTTATTTTCCTCTTAGTATATATTCATTAATATTCAATAGTATCGTTTTAGTGTATCTGTAGTCTCTCGTCATAACTGTTGTTAATTATTATTTGTAAT